TCAAGCATGATTTGGGTTTCCTACTCCCCCCCAAAAAACCACACCATCATTTATATATAATATATTCTGCAGATAACTTGAGATACTTTACTGCATATATAAAGATATATATATACATGTATAACAAAAATGTGCAAGATGTATAACAAAAAAGGAAAACTTAGCAAACATGGCTGAAGATAACAAGACAGTTTATTTCTGGAGCCTTAATTCTTGTGGCACATATTCTCAATCACAGATCATTTTAGATGTGATTAATACACCCCAAAGTTTAAAATATCTTATCACATCTTTAGACAATGGACAGCCCAGAGAGGTAAATGACACATCAAACAGTGACAGCACAGTGCAGAAGTGCACAGTTTAGCAAAATGATATTTATACTGCTGGTTACTTTGTGAAAATTTTGGTTTGTCATTGGATAAAAGATATCTGCAATGTGCTCTACATAAGAGCCATGAAGTGGGTTAATTTTGAGATAACACACTTTAGATCTATGCAATATAAAAAATTAGTAGTTTTAGGAAAGAAAGGGGACACAGCCAAATTAAATGAAGAATTAAGAGGACTACTGCTAAATTAAAATTAGTCTTCTTTCATATGTAATATCTCACACATATATACGAATATTGTATGCATTTAAGTTACTTTACATTCATCAGCAACATCTCGTACAAAAATGGCAAGTTATGCTGCATCTGTGATGTCAGTACTCTCGTCAACTGCTACGGAAAATGCTGCAGAAGATTTATTTTTTCTCTTTTATTAACATTGTGATTTCATTAGTACGTTATATTAAGCTGGCTGACAAACGGATATTTTTAAATAATCATTGTTAGGACAAAATAGTCCAGAAGATTTACACAATCTTCAAGGAATGCACCATTAGTAAATAGTTTTGACATAAGTGAAATACAACTTGCACAAACTGTTGTGTCACTGGATTTATTTGCTTCAGTTTTTTTTTTTTTTTTTTTTTTGTTATCTGCCAGATTTCAGAAAATGTATAATTTCTTCTCTCAGTATTTGTTTTCTAACCTTTAAAATTTTTCTTTATGATTTTCTTCTTAATGTCAACATGAACTGTATTCATTTGGAACTGTTATTCCCTTATAACAAATAAAATATACAATCACCACAAAAGTAATCAATTTCTCATTTATCTTGCAAACATCCTCTTTACCCACTTTTCTTCTACTTTTTGTTGAAGACATGGCTTGTAGTTCAACCTCTTAAAATCCCTGTTTTACTTTTACATAGAGCTTTAATTCAACAAGATGAATTTTAGTATGAAACAACAATCAAAACTTATGCACAGTTCTACAAATTAATTTTATTATTATGTAAATACCGTATTTTATGCGAATCTAATGCGCATCCCCATTTTAAAACTTTAAATAATAAAAAAATTGTTTGTCGGCGAATGTAATGCGCATCAATGATATGAGGAATTTATTGAATCTTATTTTATACAACAATGGATTTGTACATAAACTATCAATTAATGTTATGATAATTTTATTTAAATTTAGATCCATATTTTATACAACAATGGATTTATACATAAAGCAGCAGAACATAGAATTAACCTATTAGTGGGCTATTGTCATGTGAAACAATCATTGTTAATTAGCACTACCGTATATACGGTACCTATCGTAAAATATGAACATGAAATAAATCGTAACATTTCTATCTAGCTAACAGTTTCTACAATCAGTGATTAATAGTAAACGTCTTTATTCACTAATGCTTTCATCACTGGAATCCTCGCAGCTCTCTTCGTCAGAAGCAGATTCATTTCTTCTTTTCTCATCATCGTCATCCTCGGCGTTTCAGAGCACGCCATCGTCACTGCCATTCAATGCATTTGAAATGCAGCATTTCTTGAAAGATTTCACAATCATTGGTGCTTCAATGCTTTTCCAGGCAGCAGAAACCCAGTGTGCAACAATGTGCGGTGCAGCACGTTGAATTTTTTCCTGTCGGGGTCAATACACGGTTTGGGCTCACAAACCATTTTTTTCGTACTCCGCCTGAACGTACCCCTTAAAAAAAGTTATTTATACTAATGTCCAGGGGTTGCAACACAGACGTCATCCCTCCAGGAATGATAACAAGATCACTGCCTAGGCTGTGCATCTTCTTTTTTACGTCGTCGGTGAGATGACCACGAAATGCGTTCAGACAAAGCATTGATGGTGGATTAGAGAGCCCACCGGGACGGCGTTTCCATACATTTCGGAGCCAATCAAGCATTAATGATTCCATCATCCACCCCTTCTCTTGGTTTCAAATCAGGATATCATCTGGGAACAGCTTTTCATTCTTAGGGGTTTTAGGGCATGTTTTCCGTTTGAGGATTAAGAAAGGGGAAAGTTTGCACCCGTCTGCTGTTATTGCCAGCATCACTGTTACGCGTTGTTTTTTTCACATCCCGAAGTTTTTGATGATACCTTCCTTAGTCCCCTTCTCCGTAATGGTGTAGTTACGAGGCATATCAAAACCCAAATTGCCGTCTCGTCAGCGTTGCCAATTTGCCCATTGAAAAATTCTTTTCCTTCCGAAGTGTGATGACATACCTCTGAAATGTTAGTAGTTTTTCTTCAAAATCTGCAGGAAGCTTTTGGCATATTGTTCGTACGGCGTCTTAGAGATAAACCCATCCGCTTCATAAACCGATCCACCCATCCACGGCTAGCCTTAAACTCTTTGTTTCGGTATTCCAAGAACTTCAGCCTCCTCTTTTGCTTTATTTCTTATGGTGTCACTAGTCACAGGTTGTCCATTCTTCCTCCTCCTTCACGTACAAATTCCAAAAACTTTTTCTTCAATTTTAGGGTGTCTTCCTTTGCGAGGGCCAGTGAATTTCTTTTCACTAGCTTTAGTTGCAAACAGTGCCAATTCTGTTGCCGCCACAAGCGAAACATTGCTCTCAGCTACGTTGAACTCTCTCCCTGCCTTTCTTATGCCATTTTTTTCAGCATAAAGAATTACTTTATGTTTGAAAGTAGCGTCATATGACATTCTTCTCTGTTTGCCCTCCATTTCGTGGACTACGTACTCTGCAGTTTGTATCCTCTATGCAATAATGTGTCAACGATAAATGTAACAGATAGATGTAGTGGAGAAATACAGTAATCCATTGGTTAAGACGTATATTTGTTTCGACGTCATCGCCGAACTTTGCACTCAAATCTAATGCGCCATCGAATCTAATGCGCACCCCAATTTTGAATACTACATTTGGCCAAAAATGATGCGCATTAGATTCGCGTAAATACGGTATAAAAACAAGCACAAATAAACAATTTTATATGCATACATTTGTTCATTTATACGTGTACAGCAATATGAACTGCACAAATCTGCATCCAGTTAACCAGTGACTGACTGAAGGAAAATATATCTCAGATGTATCAAATGAATATAAAAATTGGAAACAGCAAAAAACTGATGAACCACCAACTGTCAGCCGGCAATGCAAATTTACTTGCACCAATGTAGGAAGCCCTCCTACCTTACTCCACTCATGGCTTGATATACTGTAACAAAGCCTAAACTTATAAATTTTCGTTTCACTTTAATGCAACTGCATATATAAACATAGTCCACATTTCTGTCTCTAAAAGCACCATATTTACAACAAACACATAATTGGCATGTATTCATGAACTATGTAAATTGCTTTGGGGCCCGGATGCAGCTCACTGGCCACATATAATACATTACATAAAATAACATTACTCCCACAAAAGTGAGAATACACCATACAAAGGACAAGTCTTACATTGGAATTTGACCCATAGTATTTGCATCAGAACCAGCCTCTGATAACCATCATGCCACCTGTGATGCAATTATGGAAAAGACTTAGGAAACAAGTAATACATCCTATGACTCATGCTTTTCAATTAGTAGTATCATTCTCCAAAAAGATGAAGTTTCATTTTCTGAGACCAAAGCTAAATATCTTACACTATATCCTAAACCAAGGAATGATAAAGATTCAACCACATTCATTATGATGCATGATTTATTTTTAAAGCAAGGTCTATTTAGGAATACCATTTGAAATTTCATGTGTATGAGAGAATAAGTGTGCGTACAGTCTCCATACATTATTTATGCAGAATTCCACTGCACTGCATCCATATTGCCATCTTAATGCTTTGTAGTGCGAGATAAAAACGTATATAAAAAAATTTAAGCTGAGTGAAATATAGTCAGTCATATAATTCTAAATAGTAAGAAACGTGAATTCTGCAGATATTCATTGCCAGAAATGTGAAATATATGGTAACATTGTAGTGCATATGAGGAAAGTGCAAGAATGGGTGAAATTACTTAAGAAAAGTAACACACTGATGGAGAAGTGAAATGATTGCAAATAACTGGTTATTACTGCTGGCAAAGTTTTATTTGTTCAGTATCACAGATCTTGTTCACCAAGATAAATGTTTAAACCAACTATGAAATTATGCATGAAAATGAAGAATAATAAGTAAATTTAAAAAAAAAATTTTGTATTTGTTTTGTTTTTATCCTAAACGAATCTTACTTAAAAAATAACCCTTCCACATAAGTTCAACAATACCATCTTTTTAAACCAAAATATAATCAATTCTATTTTTAATGTCAGGTCAATTTTTTTAATCTTGCAAAATTGATACTACCAAAATTCCCCGATATGTTATTTAAGAAATAATCTGACTAATCTAAATGCGAATATAACTGAATGACAAAATGATTTCCAACTGAAACAGTATAAAGTATAAATTGGCATTTTTCAAATATTAAATAATAATAATCCTATCTAACCTCCTAAATAGCATTTATTTCATGTTGATTTTATGCATAAATTATAAAACCGTTAAAATAAAAAACAACACAAATCAATTCGGAGAATGGGATACCTTTTTTGAATTTTAAGCATTTATGAGATAAAATACACATACTAGTTAAAAGCAACATGGTAAAAAAATACGAAGTTGATTTACCTTTGCAAAGTCACTCAGATTTCTTAAATAAGAAGAATCTTCTAAAGCATCTATTAAGTAAAAAAGAAATTCAGGATTACAATATACAGATTCTGAAAACATACTTACAATTAAAAAAATCAAGATAAAATATACTTAACAAGAGATAGATAAATAATTTATGATAGAAAAGCATGCACAGATCAAGTCCCGAATGCAGGAACTTTCAATGTAAAAATTATTTATAATTATGGTAAGGGGAGTTGGAACCCCAAATTCTTCAAAAAATTGTTATTTTGGATTTTTGCATTTTCAAATTCTCTACACTTTTATCTTTCTAAAAATACCATTCTTTAATCTCTATGAAAATTAGAACTGTAAAAAAAATCTAGTTTTAATTGTCATCTATGCTTTGATCAGTGAGGATTTTTACATATAAAACACGTTTTTCTCCAAACATGATTTTTTATACTCGATGCACCTTTTCTCAGGAACTACTGCTCACAGGTATCTGAACTTTTTATGGCTTATTTATTAGGTTCCCTAATATTTACTGAAATGAGCTTTTTGTGATAAACTTAGAAAAAAAAATTAATTTTTTTTTTTTGTGTGAGAAAAGTGCTAAATTTTACTATGAACAAAATATCCTGTAATTTACTCTAAAATTCAAAATGTTTCAAAAGCTCATTTCAGTATAATCAGATAGGTTAACTTTAATTACAGAAAAATTTCAAGCTTGTATCTACAGCAGATTTTGAGAAAAGGTACATCGAAAATGGCCAATTTAACATTGTCGGTATAGAGGTTTCTGATACGCCTTAAACATACGTACAACAAAAGTAACTCCCTCATAATTTGACAATATTACTAAAAACATCACACCAAATAAAATTATGACAACACAGTATTTAAACCATTTGGCTGTTAGTAAATTTTAATGTGAGTCTGCCAGATATGTGATCAACAGAAATTAATATGATTAATAAAAAAAAAGAATTTACAGATAAAGAAGTGGTCAGAAGCCCCAAATAACTGCAAGTGAAATGAAAGTGTGACACACAAAAATGCAACAATTTTAATAAAGCATTTAGACCAGAAACATAAAACACATTTGAGACATTACCACTTTGAGAGGGGGAGTCTCACATCTTTTCCAACCAATTCTCAAACATCGGGCATCAAAATAAACTCAAATAAATGGCATTAAATTATACTACACCAAGTCAAGTTAGCTTTACTGAACACAAAAGAACAACAGTCAAAATGACCGCTATCTGTAATTCTAGATACATACAGTTTATAAATTATATATATTTAAAGTAAGCCAAATAAATTATTTTGTCACCTGGGTATATACAAATAAAGCAAGAAATACCAAAATATTTAAATATACAATTTAATTTTGTCTGCAGTCAAAATTACACTTATGTAATTCTAGTGTTAAAGGAACAGAGATTTTCTCTGTACAAAAAGCTTGTTGGCAACAAAATATTTCAATCTACAGTTTAATGGGAATACTCATGAGAGTAATTACAGGATTTGAGAGATGGAACTATATAACTGAATAAAAAATTAGTTGCTTTATAAAATTAGAGCACCAAAACACAACAAAACTCCTTGAACAACTTATGCAGCAAGTGTTTCATAATACGAAATGTTAACTATTTTAAAAATAAATTTTGGTTCTTTTAAGGTTATAAATGCTGAATTAACTCAGAACTAAACATTTCATAATTTAAATTGTATAATTTTTGCATGTTATTTTAATTAATTAATGATTTAAAAAGAGAACATTTTAAAATCGGAATAGTTGTGGTCCCAGTTCTGGATCTCAGACTCAGTACTGTGTAGTGTGAAATTTAGCATCATTTGCATAACACAGACAAAGTTCGAGTAAAAATATTAACTGCATATTGCACATACATATTCCTATATCAAATCCATCTGTAAAACATTCAACCTCTTTATTAGAGTTGAAATTATGAGCAGTGTCAATTTAAACACTCTTTTGTCTGCCAGAAATTGATATACTTGTTGACTACTCCATGGATGTCATTTAATTTTTATTTCTCAGGTGATGATTTATACAGTTTTTAGTGGCAACATTGTTTGTAATATAAAGAACACAATTTTTGTCTAAAAAAAAGTTTAAACGGTGAAGTGTAAATGCTTGGAGATAACATTCAGACGTTTAAGAGATAACGTTTTTATGTCACGTTCAATAGATGTCAGATAATGAACATTAAAATTCGGTAGATTTTATTGAATTCTTGACATGCAGTGACATACTGATGTGAACAAAACGTACATTCTGTTTTTGCTTGAATTTATTTAAAATGGATAAAGTGTATAAACAACATGAAGTGCTTCATTGTGCTTTCACTCGATTGTATACAGTCAAAAGTCGTTAATTCGGACCTCAAAACTACAAACTTTCTGCGCATGCGTCGGATTGAATATGCGTGCGTAAGACCTTTACGGCTGCAAATAGGCGTGTGCACGTGCGCAAAATACGTTTACGAATGCGCGTTTAATGTATAACAGACGGTATAAGCTAAGCTAAAATTATATAATTCAGTTAATATTGCAGATTGCGCTGTTCCTTAATCTTCTAATTGGATCCGGCTTATTATTTTTTGCAGACTGTTAGAGCAATTTTATAAAAGTAAGCTTGAACTTTCGATTATGTCAAAAAGAATTTCTGATTCAGGAGTTGTCAAAGGATCTACAAAGCGAAAGCATGTTCGATGTCCATCAACCAAAAAGTGGAATTGCTGCAAAAAATGGATAAAGGCATATCCTTCGTTTATCTAAACTTTAACGTTTGTTTATCTAAACTTTGTTTATCTTTAACGCTGCGGCACGCAATGAATTGGAAGTTTATCTGTCAGCACTATCCTTATCTTCAGGGCAGATGTTTTGATTTTATTTGGCTTATAATTCCTTACTAAATGCATTATTTCATCTCGATGTACTCCGTCTTTGATATGATTTAAATCAAATTCCTCATCATTATAATTCGCTTCCGATAGCGAAGAAAGTGACAGAGGTTATTGGAAACGAAAAAATTTCAATTGACAAATTAGTCGGTATTCTCGACACAGCAATTATAGGACTTGAACAGCGGAACTTTGTAACTGAACAAGAAATTATGTCTGTTTATAGAATTAAAAAGAATGTATTATCACATAAAAAACGAAACAACTTACATTGAAAGAAATGTTTAATAAGTAAAAAAAAATATTAAGCTTTTTTTTTTTTTGTAAATTTTGATACCCTTTAGATCATAATTGTTCTTTATTTCATAAATTACGGTTTCATATTTTTAATTTTAATTTCTGCATGCCATCTTACCAGATTTAAACTGATGATCTATAATCCGGAAAAAATCGCTAATCCGGAATCGCCGAAGTCCCGATGAGTCCGGATTAACGACTTTTGACTGTAGTCAAATTATACAGGACATCAGTTTGAAAAAAAAAAAAAAAAAAAAAAAAAAAACCCACACAATCTTTCAAGGTTTTTGATTGAATCCTGTGAATCAGACTTTCAAGCTCTTTGAAATCTTGAAATTAAAATATGAAGAACTTCAGAAATTCAATTGTGAATCTATGCAGCTTATGGTAGAAGATGATACTAAAGAATGAAGAGTTTAAAAATGAAAGTCAGTCAGTTGTTGAATATAATAATAAGTATTTTAAAGTTAAGAACAGTTTTGATAAAAAAATTTAAAGAAAGAGAGGATGATAATACAATTCTAGATCATGAAATCAAAACCAAAAGTTCAAACTTCCAAAAATTCACATAAATGGGGGCTGACATAGAAGATAATTCCAATATCTTATTTAGTCTAACAGTCCAAATTCTAGAGCTACAGAGCTTGTTCAAAGTTATCCAGCGATTGCTGAGAATTATCCAAACATGATTGACAATCTCAAAGCCAAGTTTGGCAGAGGTGATGTTTTAGTAGAACTTTAATATCAGAGAACTTATTGGTAATAAAAAATTACAATGTCACAGTCATTATGTTCCCTTCATCTTTGCATGATCAACCTGAATTGCAATTAAGAGCATTAGATTCATTCAGAGTTCACACAAAAATGTACGACGCCATACTATTTCCGTTAGCAAAATCGTGTATTTCTGAGGAATTGCTAAGAGTATGGCAGAGGCAATCAAAAACTGGAGAAACTTCAAAAAGACTAGATCAGGGGTTCTCAACCTCTGGTATGCAAAGAAGCAAAGCATTTTAAACTATTAAATTCAAAAATTAAACCCAACATCTTGATTGAGGTTTTTCTCCAACACTCCTAATTGATGCAATCTGAGCTTTATTCAAGGTCAATTGCCGCTTATAGAGTTTAGCAAGAGGCAAACAATGTGTCCGCATGGCAGTTTTCGTAATTCTTCCATGTTGTACATTTCACAAATATTCTTGTAGCCGTAGACATAGCAAAATTTGCCATAAATGATGCTTTTAAAAGCTGTGATAGAAATGGATGCTGTATTTAAAAGGAAATAAAAATAAGCGTCTATAAAAAAAGATAACTGCATCTCATTAATTCTCTTAGAGTTTATCAATTTATTAGCGTGTCAGCACTTTATATATAGCCATTTCCGGGCTCATATTGCTCCATTTTCAATGAGAATAATTTTTTTATGTCGGTCTGCTGTCTCTTAACAGTAGGTATTTTGTCTTCTTGTTGTTTTGCATTCCTCACTTTTCTACGCAACTTGAGAATATCATCATCTACTTTTCAAGAACTCATAATATATTGCGCATTTAAATATTTGTGAAAATAATAAAACAAACCCAGATTTTTAAAAATGGAAAAATGGCTAGGATTGACTAAGCTGAAAAGTGACACAGGTGATGGATTCAGGACAATCTACAAGCACTAAAAATATTGAAAAGAAGAGAAAAAATCACGAAAGTTATTTATCATTTGGATTTACTTGAAATAGAGATGAAATGGACCCTCAACCTCAATGCATTGCTTGCGGTTAACTATTATCCAATTAAAAGTATGAAACCATCGTCTCTTAAGGATATCTTGAATCCAAGCATGCCAATTTAAAGGATAAATCTGAAGGTTATTTTAGGAGGAAATTATCAGAGCTAAAAAATATTAGACAGGTAATGAAAGGTTTTTGTTACTTCAGGTGAAAAAGCTTTGGAAGCTAGACCTGGTAAGTCTGAGAATTGCGAAGACTGGGCAGGCTCACACTATTGGAGAAAAACCTTTTATTACCAGCAGTGAAAGATACCATTTTAACATTATTCAACGAAAAAGAGGCTAATGAACTTAATAATATTCCACTACCAAATGATACAGGTACGTATTTTGCACAGTGAGTATTTCACATTGCAATTGGATGCAATCACTGATATAACGAACTTTGTTCAATTATTAGTTTACATACGTTTTGAAGAAGATAAACGAAGAACTGAAGAGTATTTATTTTGTGAATCTCTTCATTAGAGCAACTGCAAGTGAAATTTTCAAAGTAACTGACAGTTTTTATCTCTGAGAATGTCCTTGAAATAAGTGCATTGTTGTACGCAGTGATGGAGCTTGAGCTTTAACAGGAAAACATTCCAGAGAGATTTCTCAAATAAAGAAAGTTGCACCTGAAACTAAATTTACAACAAATTGATTAACAAACTCAAGGATTTCAAAGAGAGCAATGGCAAAACTATACGGGAAAAAAAACAAGATTTTTATCTCCAGCGCGCAAAACCATGTATTGAAAATTCTAAAGACATGCTTACTTTAAAATTATATTGCGATATTGCTCTTGAATTTAATTTTATGGTTTAAGAGCAAAGACCATGATGTTTAATAAATAAAGGTAACACACAAAAGGTTAAAAAAACATTCATTGGGCGCAATGTAAAATCTGAAACATTTCAGATAAATGTAGTGGTAGTATTAAAGATTTTCAATTTTTGTTTAGATGGTACGCGTTAGTGAAAAGGTTGAGAACCGCCAGACTAGATGATGTGATGACTTTTATTAGGAACGAAGTCTAAACTGAACAACGAATATCTATGGCAATTGGTGGATTTGAATTCAAAAAGGTGATAACAAAGGAAAAATTGTCATCTCACAAAAAATCGAAAATGGATTCATACTGACTGCAAATGTTTTATTTTCTGGTGAAAAAGAAAAGTTAAGCAGTTGTATATTTTGTAACAAACCACAGGAAAACAAATACATTTTTTCCCCCCACCACAGATACTTATAATGAAAAACAAGATACTTTAAAGAGGAAAGAGAACTGTTTTACTTGTTTGAAAAGCGGGCATTAAGCGAGAATTTGCAAATCGAAAGTAAGTTGCTTAATTTGTCCCCTTAAAGAGTCCAGAATGAAAAGGTCAAGACCTAGAGTTACTAGACAGATTTATGGGGAAAAATTAAGTCTTCACAGTGACTAAAACCATCATTTATTTGGTAGCTGGTTCAGACATGGCAGGGTACTATCTTGTTTGTTGCTTGGTTGTGAGGTCGCTCCATGGTCCAATATTGAAGGTTATCCTTAGGGTTTGGCTTCCCTTGGTCAACATTTGGGGATGATTGATGTGTAGCATGCATTCTTTGATTTTTAGGTGGATGCATAGACATCCACCACCAACTTTGTGTGAAATTAACCAGACTCTGTGAAACAGAAATTGTCCCCCTGGGTTGACTGGGGGGTTGCTTTCTTGGATCACCACTGGGATTTGGGGCATTTAACAGTGTAAAGGCAGCCTTGAGCTTGCCAGGTCTGGGTGCCCCTTCCTCCTAGGGTACTGTAGAGATGTCACAAAGAATATTACTATCACAGTATTGAAACATGCCATATCATTTTTCAGGGGGGTTTTGTACCTTCTAATCATGCTGCTGAGTTTCAGAAAATTTTCAAAAATTCAAAATTGGAGATTTTGTCATTGACTCAATTTCAATACTCAAAAGAGAATCAGCAATGATGTTTTTTGAATCTTGCACATGCCTAATATCAGTAAAAAACTGGGAAATAAAATCTAAATGGAGTAATTGCTGAGGTAAACAAATTTGTGCAGGTTCTGCATAAACCTCCCAGACTTATGGATATAAAATTCTGTATGGGTGGCTTCCTTATTCATTACACATGAAAATTTCTGCCAACTTTAATGTATCTGACTTTGAGTTGGATGTATATTGGAAGAAAAGGAGTCAAGGTACAAAGTGAGAGAGTCGTTTATTAATTATAATCAAGAAAATTCCATTTTTTCAGGGCATTTTGAGAAACTCAGGCTAAGCTCCTAATGCTCGGAGGTTGAAAGCATATTTCTGATGCATACACAAGTCAATTAGAAAATTCCTGACTCTAGCATGTGTCAGAATTTCTTAATCACAAAATAAATTTTGAAAAATTCCCTGTTGTATACCATATCTGTTGACTTTCTGTTCTGAGTTTCATTGAGAATTTTTGCCAGTTACGATATCTTAAGCATCTATTTTTGAAACATTGTATTAACTAGGTTCTGGGAATAAGATTCTTTAAAAACGTAGACTGAGCAATGGCATTTTTGGCAGCAATGAAGGGCTTGTTCAGCGTTTTTGCCCCAGTCAAACTGGATTGATGAATCCTGAACACAAGAAAGAGATGTCTTTTTACTGATATGTCCTTTTAACATTTTTATCAAAGAATGTGTACTGCTTTATAGATTTATGCATGGAACATCTGTAAAAGTTAAACATGCCTAAAAAACAGCAAAGCTGAGCAAGTGTGGTTTGTTGGGAGGAATCTAAAGTATATTTAACATTGTCAGGAAGAGGTCCAATTCTGTTTTCACAGCTGAAAACTTAAAAAATCAAAAGATGTTTGACCAAATGTGTATTTGGATACATTTATACAAAGTCCATATTCATGAAGTTTTGAAAATAAGACTTTCAAGTGTGCTTGCAATGTTTCTGGGAATTTTTTGGGGCTATGAGGAAGTCACCAACGAAATCATAAATGGCTTCTAAATATCACATGACGTCATCTATAAAATGCTGAAAAGCTGCAGGTGCATAGCATTGTATAGGACAAATTGCATACATGTACTTTCAAATAAACTGAATGGTGTACATATGGCAGTTTTATGACTGGGATTACTTCCAATTGACCCCTTGGAGGGAGAGTGACATCTCTACAGATGTTCCTCGTCCTTTTGCTCTGAATTCCTATTGTAGACTCATCTTTAATCATTTGCATAGGTTATCTCATCCAGGAATAGCAGCTACTATAAAACTCATTCATTCTCATTATGTATAGTCTGATATGTAGTGTCATATCAAAACATTGGGTGAAATCCTATAACTCTTGACAGAGATCGAAAATACAAAGGCACATTAAAGCACCAATGGGTACACTCTTTTCCTTGATGCATGTTTTTCAAAAATCCAGATGGATATCGTTGGCCCATTACTGCCATCAGAAATCGCTTTGGCTGTCCATGAGTCATAACAATGAAAAAAGGTTCTCATATGAGATCCATGATTTTGCAGAATATACATGCATTCTTAGACAGATTCACAACAATGGTCTATCATCCAATGTCAAATGGCATTTTTGAAGATCTCTCCATATGACACTCAATTCCTTACCTGTCTCCAGCATAGAATGCAACTAAACTCAATAGCAACATCTGCACACTGTCAAGATAAGTATTACATAAGTTCTATTTTAAAATCGGGTACACATGTGTACTTTTGTATTAAAGCCACCATTGTGCCAGCCATACTCAGATCCACACAAAGTTGTAACCAGAATAAGTAAATCTTTCACAATTGAAATAAATGGCCTTAAATCTGTTTCTATACACCATGTAAAACCAGCCTGTTTGCTTTCAGACTCTGACATGACTGAACCCAAACCAAACAGAGACTTAAAGATGGTTCCAGAGAATAAATCTGTTACTGAACTCTCTGGGACAGATCTGGAAGACATGCACTTCCCTAAGAAATTTGCTTCTTACATTAGAATTTAAAAGTTTTTAAAAATGTTTACCTTGTAACACATTTATTGTTACCTGTATTTTACCTCTATATGAGTGCAATAAAACCTTGTCATATGTTGAGGTGAATTTTGATCTTTTATAATTTCCTATTTTATTATTAAGGGGAAAAACCTCGACAGTATGGATCCTCTGAAGTATTTAATGCTATGATGTTGGCTCTACGAGTTGCATTCAAAGGAACTGGGAGAGAGTTCTGTGGTGATGAGTGATGGTAAGCCATAAAGCACACACAGCTGCTGATATACAGCAACCCTATATGAAGAAATCTTTGAAGAAGCAAGAAGAACAGGGACAGGCTATAGAAGAGCAGTATGCATATTTGAAGTCTTGAAATAAATATTAGTTTTTATTGTGTATCATACCTCATTGAAGTTCTTGATGAATGTAGTGTGAATATTTAATGTGCTATGGACAATGAAGATCAGACCATTTTGTACGAATATGTGAACAGACCTTTAAGAATAATCTAAAGTTACATATTAATTATTTTGAATATGAACAAAACATAAAAATGATTCCTAATTACTTCAGAAAGCAAGACAGCTGAATATTTTACAAAACAAGACAAATATAAAGTGTAAAAGAAATCATGAAATAAGCAACCGTGTTATTTAAAATTTTTAACAACAGCATTTAATCTGAGGAGGAGGAGGGAAGACATACATTCTTGTTTAGAGGAAACTATCAGATATATTAGGTTACCATGTCACCTTGTAAAATCAGGCAAAGCTTTGATCTTAGATTGGCAGTGATTCTTAAATTTTTACAAAAACTCTATGAAATTCATACATCTACATCAGATATTTTCTTGCACTGCAATAAGGCCCTCATTTTTAATCAATACCAATCTAAGGATTAATTTTGCTGATTTCATTACTGAAATGAGAAAATGAAATTTTATATCATAAAATTTTAAAAATCTCAAAATCACAGCTATTTACCTAGTTTTAATTGCTGCCATGGAGGTAATAATGTCATGTATTCCATCACTTTTCTGCATAAACTGTTATGAGCAGAGAGTAACAGAAAACACAGTTCCCAGTGAATTATACGTGCCCTACATAAGCGAGCAGAACATGGCACAGAACGTCCTACCTGTTAAAAAAGAGCAAAGAATGCAGATTATTTGGAAATGAGGCCAAAACAAATAAATATTTATGCATATAAGATACCTAGAATTTACACTAATAGCCAGTAAATTTTTTTTTAAACCGATATTTTAACACTGGAATTTTCCCTTTCTCATACATTTCCTTTCTATTCCAAAAAAAATAATGGGACTATATTTAAGTTCTTAAAAACATCATGAATTTGATATTTAAGGATGCATCCCAAAAATTTTGTTTAATGTGATCATAAAGTTAGATAAATCTCTTTTGCAAAAAATCAAGTAGTTTTTAACAATATCGATTCTTTACTTTTTTTTAGAAATTGTAACTCTTTATAAATAATAGCATCTCCAAGAGAAAATCTAATGTAATGAATGATTTTCAGAGTTAAAGTTTTGAGAGCTACCACTGAGAGAAGATACTCAAGCTGAGTTATCGGAGGATGAGTTTACAGGGTAGTTCTGCTAAGTGGAAAAAAATTTATACCACTCTTAAGCTTTTAAACTGCAACAGGGCAATGTATGCAAAGCATGTAAAATGCTTTGCTTCATAATGGTGAGGGGGGAATACACAGTTAAGACCACCATCGCACCATGTTATAATTTCACTACAGTTTCACTTCCATGCAAATCTCTACGGATGAAATGAGAGCAGATTCATAAAGGATTTCATGTTCTCACTGCAAATTGTAAACAGATAATGTTGGCAATTATGGAATTTAAAGTCTTGAGAACTATGAAGGCTGCCAGGATTATTAAATAAAAAAGCTTATGGAAGTTCTGAAATCGGAATAGGAGTTTTCATATTCTTTTCGGAGGTACCCATCCCTTTTTCAAGCTGAAAACTCTGAAGCTAAAGAAGAAAATAACTCATTGTTTTAAATATAATAAGCCAGATTAGTTTAAAATAGTGTTTAAAACACTTCTCAAGAAATCCATTCACAAAGATTTTTAGAATTCACCTTGTAGCTGATAAAAGAAAAAGGTAATTACTGAACACACGGAAACATTAAAATAATTAAAGCTAAATAAAAAACAGATAAATTAATACATAAAATACTTATATATTATTAGTGAACAACACATCTTTCAGTCGTCTGGTTCAGAATAATTACTTCTCTATTAATATGTTCAATATTAAGGCTATTCTGTACCCACTGGAAAGCTTAACACCTTCACTGCTGGTCATGTGAGATTTGTGTTGATAGTTAATGCTGTGTCATAGAAATAGATTGTACCCATATCCTGACTTATTTATTATAAGAAATATGATTTGAAAGAAATAATAAAAGATTATTATGTGTACTACATTGATTTCTAAGCCTTAAAGCATAGAATTTTATGACTATGTGCCGACGCATATGCACTAGACGTAAAATTATTTCTGTAGTGCTGCGTTATGTGCTCGTGGGGTAACGCACTAGATGTAAAATTATTTCTGTAGTGCTGCGTTATGTGCTCGTGGGGTAGCATTTAAAAATTAATCAAAATAAGTAACAATATGCATTATTTATGTATGAAACTATATCACAAACAAATATATAAATATATACTGCAAATAAATTTATTCTGAGATAGTTACAATATTATTGCAAAATACACATTTCAGAATGTTATTTGTGTATGACCTTTGCATGAAATAAAACTGTTTTCATTCCAAACCACACAAATTTACAACTAGTTTCTAACCTTCACCCCATGCCAATACCAGCATATATATTCAAAATGTAATGGCAATTGAATTTGAAAATAAGCAATGAGACACTGCTTTTTCTCCGCCAGCGTGTGACTGGCACCTGAGACATTACCCCACACTACAAGCCAGAGTGTGAATGGCTCTTCAGCAAAAACGCCAATCATGCACCAGAGCATGATAAGCAGAGAATGTGTTAAAGCACCAAACAAATTCATCATCACTATGCAAATTGCATCATTCAATTCTGATAGATCAAATTAAGCCTAAAGCTCATACCTTAATTTTCAATTATGTAAACCAAGTAAAAGAAAAGGGGAAACACTGTCCTATATCACTCAGATGGCCATTCGATAAAAAAATTGCACTTTTCCTGTCATAAAGACATGATACTTTTCATGTTTATATAGTACTCTTCTAACATGGGTACTTTGACAAAAAGTAAGATGCTACTTAAAATTATTTTTATATATTTTTGTTTTTATGCCAAACATTACACCATGATGTTAGTACAAAATACAAAGTTTCGTAAAAAATCTCGTACGTAATATTTTTAAAAAGCGACATTCAAACCTTTAGCTCTGAAATGTTAAGTGAGTATGGTTTCTACTTCAAAACACTGCATCATTAATTAAATTCTTTTGACTTTTTTTGGGGTGGTGGCAAAACGTGTAGTTTCTGCTTAATTAAAAGTTCAGGTATTTTATTTCTTTTTAAAACATACGAAATATGTTTTTAAAATTTTAAAAAGCATTTTAATTATAAGTTGAAAAAATTTTTATTTCACCTTAAACTAAATATTTTTGAGCATGTTTCCCAAAAACTACATAGGTAAGTTGAAAAAAAGGTTTTCCCTGTCGACTGTGGTCAGAGTTGTGTATGAAAGTCAAAAAATAATGAGACATTAAAGATATGACACCTTTATTTTCCACAGGTACCAATACATTGAGACATTGTCATATCGCTTGATAAGCTTCAAAAGCCCTCCAGAAAAAATCAGGCTTTTGCATGGAAGAAGGTTGACGCTATGGGCAAAGGCGACACAGCAAATGCGCAATCACCTATACACATTGGTAGGTCACTGCAAATCAAGCAGATGGCACTGTTGCGCCTGCGCAAAGCGGAGACCCTCTCTTTGACCCAGAGGTAGGAGAAGGTGCGTTTGAATTCGTGGTCAGGAGGAAAGTGAGAGCGGTTATCCACTATGCATGGCACGTATCGAACAGAAATTCATAACCGCCTCATGGAAGTCTAAGGGCCAGGTGTGATGGTCGAAGCAAATGGGTGCGGAGATGGTGTCGCACATTCAGTGATGACGTCAGCAAGTGGAGGACTACCGAGAGCTGACGGCGCGCACGGGCCACTACAGATTCAATGTCAGGAGGTGGATGACATGATTAGGCGAACCTGCGTATCACCATCGATGAGTAGCAGAACTTGGAATCTCACAATGAGAGAGCTCAAACATCTCCCAACATTCTTCGATACAAAAAGTGTCAGCACGATGGTGCCCCAACAATTGACCTCGACACACAAGGAACAACGCATGGGGTCAGCCTGGAACATCTCGTGCATAACCATGAAGATGGCAATGACTTTCTGTTTTGGATTGTAACGGGGGATGAAACGTGGGTCCACCATTTCACACCAGAATCGAAAGCCGCATCTATGGAGTGGAAACATCCCTCATCACCTGTCGTTCAAGACAACTCCCTCTGCAGGTAAAGTGCTCCTCCAGGGTTGCCACTCAAACACGAGAATGAAATTCCCTGACTTTTCCATGTAGTTTCGAGAAAAATCCAGTCTATCCGCGATGTACGTTGGCTGTGCTAAGAGGTAAATTAATTATGGTATTACCTTGTATTGTGTAGCAAATTCACTTAATTATTCAATAAATCCCAGAGGACATTTATTCTTAATTATTCTTGGTACACTTTGTTTGATAATTTTGTTTACTTTTCCACTTAAAAACTTAATAAAATTTAAGATATATACATGGATAACAACTGTACGTTTTATTTAATTATTACTCATGATCATCCCCAGTCACAACATGAGGCTAATCCGGTTCTTATAAATCAACAACACAATGCTAAAAGTTAGGTTAGATTTTTAGGTAAATTTAATTTGTGTGAGGTGTATTCTTAAAAAGGCACCTTAACACTGAAAACACAAATATAATAGGAGTTGTTTTCTCCACTGAAGATTGAGATTAGAATCTGCCCAATCTGGAATAAAATAAGGCTTCTTTTGCAGACATTCTGCAGCTAAACGAAAGAAAGAAATCTATTTAATGATATTTTTTACTAAATTGAGGTATTTTATATTTATTTCGCAGCATACATAAGGAAAAATATATGCATTAAATTTCGTGATGTCATCATACTGCCAGAATTAATTTCAGGATTATGCCAGAGAAAATTTCCTGAAATTTGGAAATATTATTACTAATGATAAATAAATTTAGAGAGGGAAGAAGCAACATTAATGATATAATAACATAAAAATAAAGATATTACTTAAAAATTAATTAGAATAATCAACGATATTTTAGCGAATATAATTATATTACATGGTTATCCTAGATGATTGATTACTATTTTTTCATTTTACTGCAAAATGACAAGGTATTTATTAAAAAGAAAAGAAAAAAAATGATTTTGCAGTAAAATCCTAGTATACGATACGGCCTTCGCATGATTTTGAAAATTGTCGCCAAGAACAAAATGACCCGTTTACTGCTCATCATCATGTCGCAAAATCCCGCTGTACCATACATGGAGATTATTCTCACCAAAGAACGTCTATGTAAAAAGCTCAGGGAAAATTTGCCAAGGGATTTGACAACAGAACGGCCAGAATTTCCTCTTTGCGATGCGTACAGGAAATTGAGAAACAGGTGTTAAGAAGAAACGTTCTCTGACAAAGAAGAAAACTACGAAAATCCATTTTTAAATTATTGCGAAAAATCCAAGAAGAAACGTTTTATCAAAGAAAGTTTTTTCTCGGATTTTTCGCAATAATTTTAAAAACGGATTTTCGTAGATTTCCCCTCCTCAAAATAACTAATCCATGAATTAATTTACTAGCACCAAAAAATGTTTTCTTTTCCTTTAGAGTTTAAAGACATTTTAAACGATATTCATTTTATGAACTCTTGATAATGTGACCTTCGAACTTCGACACCGGTTTCAAGCTTTGGCGACAGATATATCGCACATGCACAGCTGTTTCCCGCTATGATGGAACCGAGCGACGTCTGTTGCAGAGAGGTTTTCCTTCTTTATAATACATATTTTTTTAATTCTAACCTTCATGGTTCCGTATACTAGGATTAAACCCATTTTGTTTTATACGAGAACAGGTACTTTCTTTAGTTCATGCACTGCACATGCGATTCTCGAGGTTACTGGAAACCAAAAGTTGCGGGAAACTTGCTTTGCCTTACTAAAAAGACAATCAAATTGGAGCTGCAAAAATTGGCTCTATGCCAGCTGCACGAATGACACTCACGTGATACACAATTCGCCAAAAAAGTGATCTCTTCCGACGTCGGCGCAAAACTCGCCTTTTTTAGCGGGATCGTTGTATGAAATTCCCAGACTTTTCCAGATTTTTGACTAAAACACTTAAATTCCCTGACTTTTCCTTGAATTTTTTGGTCAATTTCCGAATTTCCTGACTTTTTCCGGTTTTTCAGGTACCGTGGCAACCCTGTCCTCACAGTTTTCTGGGACGCCCAATGAGTTTTGTTGCTGAACTTTTTGGAGGTTGGAACCATCAATACGCGCTACTGTGACACCCTGTCGAAATTGAAAGAGGCGATTCGGAAAAAGCGGCCTGGCCTTCTCACATCTGGCATTCTGCTGTTGGATGACAATGCCAAACCACATTCGGCGACGGCTACGCAAAACCATATTGCAACTCTTGGTTGGGAGCACCTACACCATCTGCCATACAGTCCTGATCTCGCACCAAGCGACTTCCATCTGTTTCCGGCTTTGAAGAAAAATCTCGGGGGAAGGCGCTTTGGAAGCAATACTGAAGTGAAACAAGCCGTTCAACGCTTCTTCCATATGCAAAGCCCTGATTTTTTCCTGGAGGGCTTTTTGCTAATATATTATACTATTACATTTTACTACAAAAGCTTCCCACCTCTTAGTTTTGCTTCATTTATCAATGAAACTTAACAGATTGACTTTTTCAAACATTAATATGTTAAATAATTTAAGTTAAAAATAACACCAAACTGACTATTTTCACAAAATTAGAACTAAAATAGTATTCTCAAACTTTCTATGTTTTAGAATCTTATTTAAAGGAGGATGGGAACTGATTAAATTTGAAAGAAATATTTGTTTGCATCTCATGACACTATTTTTGCACAAAGGATGCTTAAATTATTTCCTGTTAAAATGGTCAAGATTTTTTTTAACTCCCAGTTTTTTCCTATAAAAATTTTGATTTTAAATAATTGTAAATTATGTCATAGAAAAATAAAAATACTTTAAAACAAAAATAATGGAAGGAAAATTTAAAATTCATAATGATCTGCAGTAGGCGAGTCTACGCTTTCCAAAAATGAGTATTTTAATAAATTCAGCTTTCTTAATTTATAAATTTCACAGATATAATTTACTTACAATATATGTTTTTCTAACCTAGTTTTTGGTTTATTATTTCACTTGACAATTTTGTTAAATAAAAATAACTTCATCATTCATTCCGAAGTTAACTTTTACTGCAAGAGAGAATCGAGTTTTTATCGACCTATAAATTCAATTACACATTTTACAAATTGCTCTGTTGATTGTGATAAAGTATATGCCAACTATTTGCCAGAGAGAAAGAAATTCTTTCATGGAAGGCTTTTTAAGTGGAACTGGTTCATATTCTCTTCAACATAAGAAAAGACCGGCAATCAAGCTGTCTGATATTATTTAAGCCCAGCTCAAATTACCAGTATGTAAGTCATTTTACTATAGGCTTACTTTGATAGATATTTTTCAACTATGCATTTACTTATTCACAGAAATTTTTTTTTTCAAATTTTATTTTATGATAAAATATAGGATAACGAAGACAAGAAAAAAAACCCATTCCTATACCAGAATAAATACTAAAAGTTCATTTAGTAAGGTGCAATCCTTGAGTTCCAGGGCCTGATAATGGCAGTGAAGGGCTATATATTCATGAATTTTTGCATTAACAAAAAAAATTTGATGAAAAACTTAAAAAAATAAATCTTAAAGAATTAAACCAATTAATCTTTTAGTTTGTCATCTCAACTAATATGTATTGTAACAAGCCAGAGTGTGAATGGCTCTTCAGCAACAATGCCGCCAATCACGCGGCAGAGCATGATAAGCAGCGAATGTGTTAAAGCACCAAACAAATTCATCATCACTATGCAAATTGCATCATTCAATTCTGATAGATCAAAATACGCCTAAAGCTCATACCTTAATTTTCAATTATGTACATCAAGCAAAGTTTTTATTAAATGGCCATCTGAGTGTCCTATATCATTCAGATGGCCATTCGATAAAAAATTTGCACTTTTCCTCTCATAAAGACTTATGATACTTTTCAGATTTATATATAGTACTTTTCTAACATGGGTATTTTGACACAAAGTGAGATGCTATTGAAAATTATTTTTACATATTTTTGTTTTTATGCCAAACATTACACCATGATGTTAGTACAAAATACGAAGTTTTGTAAAAACCCCATACCTATATTTTTAAAAAGTGGCATTTTAGCTCTGAAATGTTAAGTGACTATGGCTTCTACTTCAAAACATTGCATCATTAATTAATTTTTTTTGGACTTTGGAGGGATGGTGGCAAAACTTGTAGTTTCTGCTTAAAAGTTCAGGCATTTTATTTCTTTTTAAAAAATACTAAATATCTTTTTAAAATTAAAATTAAAAAAAAAAAAAACATTTTTATTTGCAATTTGAAAAAAAATTTGATGTTTAGTACAGTCATTAACATTTCAAAGAGCTTATTTCTTAGTTAGCTATAAAATCTTGCCTGTAACTTATAAATTATAAAAGTTTCTTATTTAAAACTCTAAAATATATTACCTGTGGCCCAAATAAAACAGCTTCTATACTGGAATGAGATTTTTTACTCAATAAGCGTGGGCTCCCAGTCAAGAAATTTTGCTTTGAGGGTTTCTGTAAGCTATAAGCAAATAGAAAAAAATTACTTTTCTTAAAGTATTACAAAAAAATTATAATAGAATAAAAAGTCTAAAAATAGACAGTAATAGAGAAATAAAAATGTGTAAGAAATATATCTTTATACATTAAAAACACGAAATTTAAAACCTAGGCAGCGATTTTAATGTACACAAATCTCAGAGAACATTTTACCAAAAATGGAAAATAAAATATTAAATATAAAAAAAGTAACTTTTAGAAGAGAAAACAAAATATGATAAATTATTGCATTTGGGTACTACAAGTGCAAAATATTCTAAATAATCCACTTTAGTTTATGACCAGTTCTTTACTAGGAGCTTAAAAATATTCATGATTCCTTGAAAAGTGTAAAAACAACTGCAATGTGGAAAAAAAGGTTACAGCATGCATTTGCAGAAATAAAACAATGCTCTTATTTCAAAATAAGTCTCAACTTCTGAATTATGTAAGGAGTTCATTTTACAACAACAATTGACTTGTTACTTAATTGATACACCTTTGGCACTTGAGGCAGCCCCTTTCATCATGATTGCATAAATGTGTTTAGTCAAAATACTTTTTTTTTTTTTTTTTTTTAAATTTTTGGCAGCCAGATTGAAGATGCAAAATAAATAAGAGTTAAGAGTGTTCTAGTGAATTTCTATAAGAAAAATAGTCACGTTAACTTTTATCTGTCCCTTGGGGGAAAAAAAAAAAGATTATTTTTGAATGCCCTCAATGTGAATGACTATTACTGATATAAAGAACAAAAATTAGAAAAAAAAATATCTAGCATAGTAAAAGTAAAATCCATTTTGAAAGCCTAGTGAGAAAATAAATATAAGATAACATGACAAAACACAATCAGCGAAAGAAAATATTAAAAAAAATGTCAGCAACAAAGTGGCAGTATAATGATAGGAAATAAAGCACATTATGCAAAATGAGTCTTCCTCCCACCCCTAAAAAGAGGAATCATGCTTTTTAAAAGTCTCACAGTTAAAAAGAGTTACATCAACTAACACTTATGGATGTGAAATCCCTCCAGGAAAGATAATTTGTGATCTGAAGAAGCATTTTTGAATAATTTTGTCAGAAAGGTAGAAAATATGATTTTCCAATAAACAATATTCAGCAATGGAGGATTTATCCCCCTCTCCACCCAAACATAAATTTTACATATCACCTGCTTAGGTCAATATATATTTTTAGCCACACAGGCAAAGAAAGGCTACAAACAGGGAGCCCACTGTAAATTTTGTTAGGAGAAGACAAAAACAGAATACAGGTAAAAACTTAAAAATATTTTTCCAAGCAACTGTCAATGTACTAAGATAGCCATAAAAGAAAATTCATAATTTGGCCAAATAAAAAGCTAAAGTTTAAAAAATGTCACATAGCAATTGTAGAGAAAGCCTACAAATATAAATGTATCTACTGGTCTCTTTAAAAGAAAAATGAAAAAGTAAAATAACACATATAAAGGTAATGATGATAACATACAAAAGCAAAAACAATAGTTACAATACTTCACTGATAAATCATTTTTATGCTACTAGAACCAATTACGCTTTAACTGTAAACAAAAACTTTAAGTCAAGAAATAAAAAATAAAGTCAACTTTTGCAGAGTATATTTATTTGATTAAAGAAATTATAACATAAAGTTAACTAAAAAGTGTAGAAAATGTATCAAGATACACTCTAATAATAGATGAAAATAATATAAGAATTAATATAACGAAATCTTCATACTTTGAGAGACCAAGCATAAGTCATCTGGAATCAGCAATTCTTACAAATTATTTGTACTAGTTTCTATGATGCCTTCTTTCGTTAATCGAAATACAGCAAACAAAGAATAGGTATGATTTTGCTCAATATATACATAATTTTGACCACCACTTTTCTTAATGATGAATTATTAAACAGACTAATGAATGCATGTAAGTGGAAATGCTCAAACAGATCCAATTTTGCCATAAGTTTACTTTCAGGGTGAGGATATAATAACACAATAATCTCATTTTCATTTCATTAACACAGAGCAAACCTTTAAGGATGGAGCAGGAGCTATAAAATTTTATCAGCGGAAATGAACGTATGGATGTATTACATACAAGTAAGTAGTATATCATAGAGAAGTTTACATTTTGCAAGCAAGCAATAAACATACCAGGGACAAATCATCAAGTTTTTTTTTAAGTTTAAAAATCACACTCACCCAATTTCATGAGGCGACACTACCATACCCTTTCTGCAGTCAGGTTTATAATTTTAAAAGAAATATTTATATATATATAAATATACCAGATACAAAAATAGAGAACATTGTATATATTAAATGATTTATAAGTAAAACAAGAAATATTTAAGTAAATTAAATAGCACAAAATAAATGCTTTAAATCTTTCAAACATTAGAATATAAACTGTTCAGACATTGTTTAGCACAACACATCATCACTTGTTCTGTTTGTATTCTACTTAAAAGACTAAAAATGTATGCATTGTTTTCCAATTTGTGAAACTTTCCCAACCTTTAAATGTTCTGTGATTATACACTTTTGGATAACTATTCTCTTGAAATCCAATAAATTAAATTTGATAATTTCCATCCTAATACAGATATTATAATGAATGATTTCTGAGGATGCATGCCTGAAAACATGGGGTTACCCTTCACTTACACTTACCCGATGGATAAAAAGAGGTAAGTGGAACAAGGAAATAGTGATGAAGAAAAACCCATCAGCAGAGTCCTGACAGTTGCATATCATGATAAACACATGGATCTGCTTTGCTCCTCTTTGCATATAGTTAAAACTTGCGGGTAATTATTATTGGAGGTACTACAAGAATTGTAGCTAATGGTCTAACTCAGATTTGTTTATCTTATTTTGTTTAATAAATACTGTACTATGAAAACTCTCTCAGTTATCCATAAATCCTGATCCATAAATAACAGAAGATTATTGCTTAAACTATAGAGAATTTGATTAATAAAATCATACTATACTATGTTAAGAATACAGGACAATTTGTTACAAGCAGCTGAACTTTTCACATTATTTCAAACTTTCAAAAATATTCTTTGCAGTTATCTAACCTTCTAAATATTCACTAGGTAGATGAAAACAATCATGAGAGTAGAATTTGAAAAACCTAAGAGTTACATATTATCATTTCAGTTATAGAAGATAGCACAGCAAACCACAAATGGAGTTGCATCATTAACTGAAATTTCCTTACATTAAGATCATGAAACAAAGGTAGACAACATGCATACATTGAAGAAACAAAACTTCGAAACACAGGAAAAAATCTGAGAGAAGATAGAATAAAGCAGATGTCAAAATGAAAGATATATGTTTTATTAAAAAAGTCAGCTTTCTGTGACATAACGAAATCTATGGTTATATCCATGGGACTATAACGAAAGCTATGGGCATCCAATGAATGTTTAATGACTCTGACATTTGGTGAGCTAACTGAAAATCTTTGAAACATGTTTTGCAGCTACTTAGACCAAGCTAGACATAGAGCTAGGATATTTGCAGAACCCAGGATCAAGTATCGCTTTAATAGGTTTCACATACTGGCATCAGACGGCAACATAAACCTTAGCCATTACAATATAAATGTCAGATGCATATAAAATTCGCATGCACTTCTGAAATATTTCTTATCAATAATACTAATGATTGCAATAGATATGACCAGAAAGACATTTTCACACCTGCAGCCCCATCTTGTTGGTATTATCTTCCATTCTGTACAAGATGTCCAAAATGAGGTTGATCTGTTTCTGGACTCACAGCCACCAAGTTTCTGGGCCAAAGGCTTTGAAATACTACCAAAACGTTAGCAGAAAATTATAGTTTGGGTAGTGATTACTACTGGCACTAAAGGTACTGTTTCATGCTTTTCCCCCCTAACTTTACTACAAATATGTTTTGGCAGAAAACTTTTGTTACAACCAGATATTTATTCCAATTTCCCTAAAGAAATAAGCTAGAAATCACACTGCAGTTCATTCAAGACTAGCCATTCATTATAAGTACAAGACAAACATTTATTTTCAAAATGGTTTTTTTACAAAAAGAGTTTTACTGCAATTTATGAAAAAAAAAAAAATATTGTCGCAGTCTTCTTGCAAGTACTCATCATGTTTTCAAAGGTAATAGATGTGAATGTTGACTTTAAATTCTGTTCACAGCTATTAATTTCTAACATAATTTATGAACTAAATCCATAAATATCTTGCAGTTTTTAATTTATTTTAACAGCAAAAAAAAAAAAAAAAAAAAAAAAAAAAAAAAAAAAATCCTACATTTCCCATATATATTTTTTAATATGTTGAAAATTAGAATGACTTTCACATTATAAAGGAAGAAACAATGGCATATCCTTGAAGACATGCACTTACAGTGTTCATAAAAATGAATATCATCATTCTCTGTTAAATCTATATCAGAACTCTCTACAGTCAAATTTAATACAACTAATATGCCTCAGAATTTCATATAACAAACCTGATGTATGGCTGGCAAACAGCTATGACAGAGGCATGGATGGTGATCGTCACAGCACATAAATGGAAGTAATCAAATAACAAAGGTATATGATGATGTAGTCCTCTAGAAGGATCAAAGTGTAGAAGTAAAGTTCTTGTACTCACACAATGGATGGAATTATGGTGGTCGGGTCTACAAATGGGAGGGAAAAAAGAATTAGAACATTTTATGTGCAAATGTAGAATGGATATATAAGTAAGGTACAGGGTTCATAGCCACATTTTAGTTTAAAAAATAAGCACCTATAAGCACTTTTCAAGCACATTTTAAGAAAAAAAAAATAAGCACCTGTCTAATTACATCATACACAACTGCATAACCTTAAAAATTAGACTTGTAATTTAAAATATGAGAAATGAAGTACTTATTAAGAGAGAATAAGGATTATCTCAACCATGGAAAATAATTACTTTTTCTGTTTTTGTTTTTAATTTTAAATAATAGTTCAATTTACAGAACTAGTTTACAATGAGAGAAAAAAAAACTATGAAGAACTAAACTATATTACAAGATTTAATGATGAAATTTCAGTTCAAAATAGAGAAAATAAATAATAATAAGGCATATTTATTGTATTCGCTTGGAACCTAATAATAAATACAATTTTATTTTTCACTCATATTGATATTTAAATAATTTAAATCTAAATTCCGAACATTTTCTAAATTTTCATTGTATATCAGTTTTCTCTTAACAGATATTGCAAGCAAAGTAATTTAAGTAAAAAAGAGGGACATTTCCGAAATCAGAAGACAGAAATTTGCTTCATGCAGTCATCTTTAACAGTAAAAGCTTAACTAACCCGCATACTTGGAAGTTGGCGAATATTCGGACAGACGAGCGTAACTTGAAGGAGCGGAAGGGGGGGTAAACTGTAGCCGCTCTTTAGATTTTTCCGCTAAATAAACGCTTTTGACATTTCAATATGTGCATCATATAAAAATAAGCTAAAGGAACTAAAAAATATTCTGCTTAGCAAGCACAGTAAAACTCTTTTAAATTTTCATAAACAAATCTCGGACTGAACATCAAATTAATTATCTCTGTAAAATATCGCAAACGTTATTGCACAATACGTGCTCCGTAATTCTTCCCTACGTGATATTACGCAATCGGAATCAACAACTGCCGTTATTGGGAGAATAAAGAACTAAATAACTGGGGTGTTTTTCATTCTAATTTTCAACAGACGGCGTTAAATTTCCGGAATAGAATCATTCTTTGCTTGGGCTGGTAGACCGCAGAACTTTTAAGTCCTATTCAAAATCCAGAATTGGAAAGCCCCCCCCCAAAAAAAACGTTGCTTATTTTGCAGCGAACTGTGACGGTTTCAATATTCGCGATTCCTTGCGGAGAAAGGGGAGAATCGTCCTAAAACACAACCGTACTGTTTCTGGAAGTTTATCTATACTTCAGCAGTTACTGCAACTATATTTATTATAAACATTCATACATAGGCTCATAATATAAGCATAACGATCATAATAAACACGAATATGAACTGACCACGCGGAAGAGAATTTAAATTATTAAAGATCTTGATAGAAATTCAAACGTGTGTAGTATTTTGGGGTGGGAGGAAAAGAATACCGAATGTATCGGAAATTTTCTACCTGCTTTCGCAATTCTTTGACCAATAGAACGACGGGCACCACATGTCTGTACTCTTCGCCCGCACACCAAAGGTTACGTTAATGCAGAGGAAAGGGGGAAAAGCTATTTCCGGGAGTATGACTCACCATCTGACATTCCATATTAGGAAGAAAAGTTGTTTATTTAGTTTCGGCTTTGGTACGGGGAAAAATAGCGCATTTATTTTTAAAAAAAAGCACTACAAGCAAAATATAAGCACTAAAAACAAAAAAATAAGGGCTAAAAGATAAAGAAAAAGTAAGCACCTATAAGGGGCTTTATATTTTATTTTCAAATATAAGGACTTATAAGCACTTATAAGGACCGCTACGAACCCTGAGGTAATATTACAGAATTAAATTTAAAAAAATTACTCAGTTATAGACATTCCTTTACAAATAATATACACAAAACTGAAACATATAAATTATGTCAAAGTCATGAAGTTGAACTATTATTAACTCAAATTTCTACATAGTGTGGAGTTTTGTGCAGTATGCAAGCAATATTCAGCAGACAGTGCAGCAGCTGCTGAATGTTTGGCCGTCTGTCAAATTAATTCAGATGAAAATTTAAATCTAGATTAGATCTACAATAGAGATGAAATTGCAGCGTTCTAAAATATATATCGAGAACTATTCTGAGTGCTGAAGATACAGAATCACTAACAGATCATAAGCATCAAAAGCCTGTCATTCTGCAAAAGTCTGCCATGCTACTGTTGCTGCTCTAATCCATACAGTATTCATAGCTGCACACTGTTGGTCACTAGTAAATGTTACATTCCAGAATTTTCAACTGCATGAAGCAGCATATTTTACACAGCTACAATAAGTGAATTTTTTTCAAGAAACAGTTTTACATCTAACAATTAAGCTCATAAGTTTACATGAAATATAAAATCAACAGTTTCCAATACATCACATTTGAAATATCATGGATATTTCCCCATAATAGAAACACAAGAAAATTTGTGGTAATGGCTTCGGTTACTAGTGGCAGATATAACCTGCTCTTACTGTCAATAAAGCAAACCCATTCTGAAATACATGAAGCAAATCTAAAATATCAAATCAAATATATGTATGCAGAATCAAATCTAAAAAATTTCGAAAATTTTCCCAGGTACAAAAAGCTATCTATCTACAGATTATAAAGAGGAATACTTTCAGAAAGCACAACAGAAATTATAACCAGAATTAATGTATCTTCTAGCATGTTTTTGAAATATGTTTCCAATTAATATTGATACAATTTTTATCTCATTTTTTAAGATTTCAAGAAGCAACAATATAAATATTGTTCGCTGAAATATGTTGTTTCTAACAGATTCCAAAGTGTCTTCCTGGTTCTTTATATATTATACACAAGGAAGAGACCAGCTTTCCATCTTTACTGACTGTATGCATTAAAGTGCAAGAATGTATTGTTACATGAACATATTACATTACATTTTCAATTTCTTGAGTCATTTTCCACTCCTCAAGTGTTCCTAAACGAATATCTTTATTTCCCAACTGGTTGGTGATGAAACCTTGGTCATCATCACAAAGAAAAAAAAAAAAAAAAAAAAAAAAACATTCTTAAAGCATTCATTGATTAATTGGACACTTTTTTTTTTCAAATATAAGATACTGAAAAAACAATTTAAAATTTTCCACTGACAGTTAAAAAATGTCATGTTCAAAAAGCTTAAACTGGCACTTTAAAAAAAAAAAAAAAAAAAAGTTTTGTCACATTCCGATCTTTAAATTTGAATTGTGAGCATCAACACGCATGTCTTATATTCTGAAACCTCTCAACTATAACCTTGGAAATCTTTCATAGTTCATGTCCATTAAATTCTAACTTTTCTTTTTGCTTTTACCTGCATGTATAATTGGGACAAATTTTTCATAAACCTAAAATTTTGGACTGTTTGTTTAGTACCTGAATATACTATTCAGATCACATTCCGATCTCCTTCAAATTTGAATTGTGAGCATCAACATGCATGTCTTATATTCTGAAACCTTTCAACTATAACCTTGGAAATCTTTCATAGTTCATGTCCATTACAGTCTAACTTTTCTTTTTGCTTTTACCTGCATGTATAATTGGGACAAATTTTTCATAAACCTAAAATTTTGGACTGTTTGTTTAGTACCTGAATATACTATTCAGATATTCAGTATTTTCTAATTTGCCATATACAATATTGTCATTTTTTACATGTATTACTAATAACCTCAAAAACCCTTGACCTGAAATCCAGAATCTTATACTGCTTATTATCAGACTGTCAATGCTTAGCCTGATGATGTGCTTTAACTCTGTGGTTTTCAACCTATTTTGCTTCATGCACCTGTTATACAAAGTCTGAAATTTGAATATCCAACATCCAGAACTATGTACCACTAGGCAAGAAACAAACAAACAAATAAATAAAAAACGCCACCTCCTTACAAAGTCTAAAAATGGAGAATATAATAACAAAAGGAAACAGGTGTGCCATAAATGCAATTTTTTCTGGACCAAGTGAGATTCCTCTATATCATTTTCAAGCACCTACTTGCAGGAATCACAACCCTATGCTCAAAAGCACCACGGTCGGCAGATTGTTTTACCAAAATAAAATTAGTTTTTGATAAAATATTACAAAAATTTTTTTATAGTTTGTAACTAACCAGAGAAATCTAAGTGTACCTGTTAAAAAATAATTCCTTATAATTATATGTATGATTTTAAATGAGGTTACCAGATGTCCTTGTTTGAGTGGGATTACTCCAGTTTGAAGGTATGCCCTGGTGTCACAGCCTGTTGGTACCAATTATTTTTTTTTAAATGTCAAATATACAAGCATTAAAATATTCTTTAATGCCCCCTGTAAGCTGCCCAGATGGTATAGTGGTTAATGACGTTGACTCCTGAAATGAAGGGCCTGGGTTCTGATCCCGAAGAAGGCACGTATGTTTGTACGCATATAAATGCCAGCGCGGCAAGGCGGCACTCAAAATACATACTGAGCAGAAGTCCCCTTTAATGTCTAGTGGTAAGGGAAAGGAGTAGGAGACCCCTGAACTGCACCTTGAGGAATTCTGCCTTGGGATTCCAGGTGGGACAAAACCCTAGCAGTTATCAAGACTCTGTGATAACCTAATATGACTACTTGGATAAATTTGAATCTATACCTGTACTTTATGCCACTGTTCATAGAAGGTGCAATATATGTATAGTGTAATTATTTGTTCTGCATTGTGGTGCCATCTATCCCCATTTAATGGGTATTCCCCTAAATGCCATGTTATATTTACTGCAAAGTCAAATTCACATAGTTTTAGAGTATGTACTCCCTTTATTATTGTTGATGTTTTCATTGTTTTTATCATTATTTTAATCCCAAAATAAGCGAGTCAAATAAAAGAAGGTATATAAATGCCTAAGAACCTATAATTTTGATACTAAATGGAAAGAATCATACTGTTTCACATTTAAATGTGCCTCTTTTTTATGTGACAGTA